AGATAGATAGATAGATAGATAGATAGATAGATAGATAGATAGATAGAAAATAAACGTTTTAATCCCGTGAGGGAAATTCAGCATTTGGGATTTTCTTAGATTTTCTCTACATTGTATTTTGCTGTATTTGTGTCTCCAGTCTGCTCCAGTTGGTGCTCTCTGGCCCGGTGCTGTACTACAACAACATCCACACCCCCCCGCTCGCCTTCAGCCCGCACGCCACTCACTCGCCCATCGCCTCACACCCCCCCCTCCCGACACACGCCGCGCACTCCCCGCACGCAGCCCTGGCCGCGCACCCCGCCTCCCACGCCCAGTACCCCGCTCAGCCCTTCATGACGGGGATGCCGTTCCCGTTTCGGCCCAGCCACTAATAAGGAAGGAGGAGGGGGAAAAAAAGAGGAGAGGTTCAGTGTGGATGATTGTGTGTGGTTAGTCTGTGCTTGTTGTCTGCTTGGTGTCGTTGTGTATGAATCTGTGTGTCCTGTGAGTGATTTACCATGGTGTCGCCGTTGAATAAATATTTTTCTACTTTATCATGGCGCCGTTCTCGCTCTCCTCCAGTAGAGGTCACTGTTGTCCAGCTTCCACCTGGACGGGGTTACTGTTTAGGATGCTAGAGAAGTGGGAAAGAAAACCTCCTCATGTGCATGTGGCTGCAGTGTGACGAAATGAGGGCTAAATGCTTCAGTAGTTCATAGTTGAATCACTATTGAATGAATAAATGAGGCTCTTTAGAGTGAAAATTAAGCATGGGATTTTACAACGGCATTTGAATACACACACGTACACACACACACACATATATAACTATATATATATACATATATGTTTGTGTGTGTGTATAGACACCTACTTGTTTCTTTAGTTGCAACTTCTGAAAATATGAGTAATAACCCATTTAACTGACAGGAAATACAGCTTTTGAACCGACAAGGGAATTTCCAAGGACCTACTTATAGAAATCAATGGCATATCTAAGCAGGGTGTCGTGTAAAAAATTAGGAAAGTGTTTAAATGAGGGCTAAAAGAAGTGGCAGGCCCAAAACCACTTAAAAAACAAAACAATATACAGCACATTTATTCACTGTGAAGAAAGCTGAGAATGGGTCTCGGGATGTGCCAGATAATAAGGGTGCTAAGAGCAAATATCCACTTTCAGAGAGTCTAGAATTGAGCGAACGCCTTAAATGCTCCTGCTTCCTCATACCCATCCACGTGTTTCAGCCTAAGGTGAGGCGCCCTTTTTTCTTCCTTCTTCCCGACAGCATGAAGAATGCAGGCGTGGCTCAAGAATTTCTCAAGGCATTTCTTGCTAAATCTTCTTTTTTCTTTAAGCGTGAAACTCTTGCGTGATGTCACCTGTGGGCGCGGGGTACGTATATCGCCACAGGCAACTTGACTCGTGGAGAATATAATCAAATATTCAAAAGCAGGTTCGCTCACCTTAGACCTGAATTCGGTTAGGGGCCTAACTGAAGGCTGTCACGGTCAATTTAAGCCGATCCCCGTGCGCTGGAGACGATCCCTGTTTGGAGACAGATAAGGCTATCGTCGGGCTGCACAAGCCAAGAAAGAAGACGGTCGCCCCTCGTCCTCTCCCCTGCTTACGCAATGCCCCCAGCTGCTCTCATCAGTGATGAAAATTGCATCATCTGAGGCATCTGCCACCTTTTAGTCAATAGTTTTAAAACAATACACAACAGATTTGGAAAAACTCGACAAAAATCTAACTTTTCCCCAGCCGTAAACTTCCTTGTGATAAATTTAAAACCAACCAGGCCGGCTAGGGAGGAAGCAGATTCCTCAAATGATCTTTAATTGTAATCTGTGCTGTTGCCACTGTTGGAATTTTCTGCTTCCTTTTTCCCTTTCAAACTTGGAACGTCTTTGCAGTTATCTGCTGAGATCCCCCCCCCCCCCGTGTGCGTCCCTTTTGTACATTTTGGGTCTGCAAGCAAAGCCGGCGCTGCTTAGGGCTGATTGTCCGAAGGCCCAGGTTTCCTCCCTGCCCAGTGGGCGGAACGGTGATAAGGGTATCTTTCTCAGAAAAGCGACGGGCAGCTGTTGGGCCCATCGCTTTCTGAGATACGGAGATACAGTTCGACTGCAAAAGGCGGGAACTGTTGGAGAGCCTGTTTCCACGTTCACGCTAAATCAATGGGCGTAATTAGGTTTCATTCATTTAAAGATCAGAAAGGGACCTGGCAGTATCTCCTTTGCTCTACTGTCTCAGTGGAGGTCAGTCAATCACATCGACGCGGGGGGCCAAATCGACATATCGCTTTCACATCTGCTCGCTAACGGAACAGGAGGCAGATTTTCCGTGGTTTGGGCCTGGACGAATTTAGCCTTGCAGGTGTGCGTCTGTGTTTGGTTGGCTGTCAACCTCAGCGGCTTCAGAAAAACCGGCCTACCCCCAAAAAGCCCAAAGACTAAATCTGACTCACTTAGTTTAAGATAAACACAAACCAGACGGGTGAACTTCAAATTCTAGCCCACAAGGTTTACTTCCAAAGCAAACCTTGTCAGCCACTAGTCAGTGTACCACCAACATTCATAGTTTTTTTGTTGTGTTTTTTCCCCCCCAACATGACAGATTGCAGCAGAATAAAATTCATGTCTGCATAAACTGGTTATCTTAAACTCACTGTTCATCATGTGAGATAATAATTACAAAGATAAGTGTAATTATTAAGAGGAAAGCCATTTACAATGTTGTTAATTTTTGACAGAGATTCAGAGATTGAACTCCTTTTTGTAGGTTTTTTACCTTTTTTTTCAAGGTGGGAGGTATTGTCGGTATACATTTAGTCAACAGGATTTAGGCCGGAAAGAGGGCAAAGACCAGGACTCGATTCTGGCCAGCTGGACTCAGGAACCACGGCCCCTGCCCGGCCAGTTGAACTGCTCTGGTTGAACTTGTGACTTAAGAAATCTTGATTAAAAACAATTTCAAAAAGCAGAAATGGAGAAAAACCGCAAACAAATCTTCTCTGTTTTGTGCAGGTGTTAAAATTGCCCGATCACACTTCCTTTTTTCATAAAAATTACCGCAGCATGAAAGTCACCTGCCGTAAAGACAAATAATCAAAGTAAAAGCCTCTTGCAAGTACAAGACAGTGTGACTGAAAATGATCCGCCATCATGATCAGGCTTGCTTTGTTTTTACGTACAATGTGAGACTTTGTGGAAAAAGACTGTAATTACAGCTGTGGTTCTTGTGGGACCACCCTCATTAGCTTTCCAGCAAAGACAGGATCACCGCTAGTGTACACATCCTGTCAAGACTTAGCTCATGACTGATTTTTACCTCAGAGAGAGTCAGACCTAAGTGTTGACACAAAATACACGTTTGATGCTGCTGTGAGAAACGACGGACGCTTCTTTCTCATAATATTGCTGAACAATGTGTTATACAGGACAGTAAATGAACTACACACAAGATCAGACGAGCTCAGATGAAGTTGATTGGCATCGTTAGCAATCAATCCTTCAATGAATAAATCAGATAAAATAACATTAACTGGTTTGGGTTTTATGTTGAGAAGAATTTAATTCAGCTTTGTGACACCAAGACCTGTATTTTAGAGGGAGAATAAAAAAAAAACTGTTAACTGGCCATAATTGCACAAAGAAAATTGATAAACCATAACCCGTTAGCATGCTAGTTCTCTTGGAGTTCGCTAACCTTAAAAGAAAATGTTCATATCGATCTTGTCATTGGCTGTGCAGTGGTAAGAAAAAGTAATGGACAGATGCTTAAAATAAGTATCCACAGGCATTCATCTTCTTGGAAAGTGAAATGTCTGTGGAACATTACGTTCTGGTGTTTTTAAGTAAACCTGGAAACCAACTAAATCTGAAAGAGCTACGTTGTCTCAATTTACTAATTTGTTTCAACCACTGTAGTTTTCTTTTTTTTAAACAAATTTTCATGCATTAACCACTGATATTTTGAAGTAAATTTACATTAAAAGGGTTACTGGTTCGAATCCCAGCTTCATTCGTATAGGTTGTCCAAATAACTTCCATGGTCCAAAACACGTTACGCTAATTAGTGTCCAAGACTTAACTAAGATTTTGTGTTGATTGAGCATGTATGGTTGTTTCTGTGGCACTGCAATGGTCTGATGGCCTTTCCAAAGCGCACCCCACTTCTGAATTGGAAGAAAAAGGAAAGGAATAGAAAATGGATGACAAGTAAACCGCATTTTCTCAAAAGACCAAGTTTAACTATGATATTTAAAGCTTCATTGTGGTATCTTTCCATATTCGACAACGTTAATCAGAACTGCTCGGTTTTAAGGGGCCAACTTTGCGCCGTGTATGATAAGTTTGCTTATGTGTAACCGTCCCGTTTGTGTTAAAGTAGTGGAGATGATCCCAGCTGTCGTTGGGCGAGGTGCGGGGTACGTTCCGGAAGGTCTCCAGTCCATCACAGGACCTTCTGATGGGACACATGTATATTTATAAATGAAAAGAAGGGGTCACGAGAAGTGAACCTTCAACACTCTTTATGGATCCAAACATATATCTTTTCTTTTAAATGCAATGAATTTTTACGTGATTCTGTTTAAAACGAATATTTATTCACATGGAGAAGGTTTTCCGCAGGTACGGAAGTTCAGTATTACACAAGGTTTTTCTTAGGTATTTCAAAATGGTGGTTTGGTTGTTGAACGGTGCTGCTTCTTGGGAAACTGCTAACAAGTCTAGAGCACATAACATTTCCTTTGTATTTTGCACAGTCAGAGAATTGTCACTGTGCCATGACAGGCTGCTACAAAAACTGTGGGAATACGTTAGCTTGCTGTTTTGTTCCCTCTTACTGAGGATTCAGTTAAACAAGACAAGCTGGAGAGCTATTACTTATCAGCCTAACCGCGCCAGGTGCTCAAGTAATGATTGAAGAGATACTGAGAGACAATTAAATCTTCTCTGATCACGGCCTTCTTGGTAAGTTTAGATTCTTGGCCTTCAGCTGCTTGAAACTACAGCAACAACTTCCCATAAAAATGCTGCTGAACTTTCAAAGTACTTAATCCTTGAATGGGAGATCTGCTTCCAACATAGCTCAGAAAAATCATGTTCCACTGCTCTGTTCATTAGGAAAGACGCGGTGGGATCAGAGGTGCTAACGTCCATGTTTTTAGTTGCTTATTGTGGATACCCCAAGATTTAAAAAAAAGAACAAGGAAAAACAAGCGTAAAACTGTCAACCACAATGCATGCACTGGTTGAACTTTTAGTGCTGTTATGGGACAAAATGTGAGAAAATTGTGGCATGGGAATATTGTGGAGGCCTGAAGTGACTTTAACCAATCACTAGTTTCAACAAAACACACGTTGGAAGCGGCCATAAACATGTAATTACTTAAGTCATACCAAAAGACCAATTATAGGGGCAGTGGCATTATCTGACTAAGGGTTTTTTTAGTTCAAAAATCAATAATTAGAAGTTATGGTAGATAAACACGCCTGCTAAGGTGTAGTCGTATGAAAAAGAAAGTGAGCTCCGTTCCAATTCCAGGGTTTTGCAGATCAGCCTATAATGAAAAAGACACTGAAATCTTACCA